CCAGAGGGAAGACTTCTAAATCCATACACTGTATGCTGGATCTTTATGCAAACCATCTACGTATCCAGGCATGGCTCCTGGGTGACAGACAGCAGAGAATGGAACAATGGAAGGTCCCAAAATATCCAGCACACAGCAAAGGATTACTTTACAAGTCTCTACAGACTCATTAGTAACATAAAGAGAAAATTTGGTTTAGAATCGGGAGTGGGGGAAACCTAGGCAGAAGATGTCTCAGTTGATAGTGTTTGCCTGAGTTACATCTTCAAGATCCCAAGTGAGAAAATACAGGCAGGTTGCTGAGGGCATCACTGCACAAACAGCTTTGATTCAAAAGGAAGAAGGGTTGTGTCCCTGACACTAGGTGAGTGAAGCATGTGTCGTGGTAGGCACAGCAATATTCTAACGTGGGTTGGCTTTTCTCAGTCTACAAAGCTCACAGACTCTAAATGTGGGAGAAGGTTGGAAGACTATTCTCACAGGGAGGGAAAGAAGGGATCCCAGTGGCAATACAGCTTAGAAAAATAACCATAACAATCTCATATAATCCCATTTACAGAAAATCTAGAAATAGCCCTGTGTGGCAAGTTCACTGGGTTGGTTGCAATGCCATCTAACATACTAAAAGACTCACTGCACATTTTTCTGCAGATTCAATTAAGAATGTATCATTTTGCTTGATTAGTTTCTACAAATAGTAATTACGTGGTGATTTCTTGTCCAGATAATTATTAGCTTTTACTACACCCCAAAGCAGGATATTGCTTGCCTTGAAGATTTGTCTTCAAAAACAAGACCTACCTTTCTATTCATTAGGCATATTTAAAATAAGATTACTAATTTGGGGAGCATATAAAATACTCCAATGAAAAAAACCAAGCTTGTATCTGTAAGTCACTATTCATTGTCTTATTAAAATATGTAAAAATGTTTTAGTATCTATCTAATAAACACAAAGAAGTATCCAATGTCATTTATTGCATAATGATATATTAAAATATTAAAATTGTAAAATGACTGCAATTTAAGAACAGAATGACTGCAATTTAAAAACAGAAACAGAAAATAAACAAAAACCAGGAAGTGATAGGTGGATGGAGGCAAAGGTGCCAGATCCCCTGAAACAGAAGTTACAGACAGTTGTGAGCTGCCATGTGGTTGCTGGGAATTAACCCTGGGTCCTCTGGAAGAACAGCCAGTGGTTTTAACCACTGATGCATCTCTCTAGCTCCCTAGGTATGTACTCTAAAGATATAAAAACCCATTTTTTTTCTGGAAACTTGTACGATAGAAAAGTGGTGTTATGTCAATATTCACAGCAGCCTTACTCAATACAGCCAAGATCTGGAAACAACTCTAGCGTCAACACTAGCTACTGCATGAACTAATAATATTGACTGGTGGTACTTATAATGTGATGTTAATGTACACACACACACACACACACACACACACACACACAGAGAGAGAGAGAGAGAGAGAGAGAGAGAGAGAGAGAGAGAGCCCAGCACAACAAGAATACAATCAAGATGACTCTCAAGGACCATGATAAAAAAGTCAAATGCAAAGAAGGCAGTCCTAAGGGGAATAAAAGCTGACTGTGGCTGCCTGTGCAGATGAGTAAGAGAGGTTCTGGAGTGATGTGATACATTTAAAGGCATGAGTATCTAGTATGCTGCATTGCTCAGGAAGAAGATGCTATCTGTGTGCTTTTTTGGGGGGACAGAAGAATATTTTGTCTCACTTTTTAGGAAATATTTATTAATTATTATTTTTGTTTTTTTGACTATTTGCTTTAAATTTCAGGTCCCAGTCTTTGATTAGCTTATTTTTTACATTTAGTTATTTACACATGTGCATGTGTATCACACATGTACATGCTATGCCAAGAGTGTGGATAGTTGGAGGATAGTTTGTGGGGGTTGCTTGTCTACTTTCATCTTGTAGGACCTGGAGAGCAAATTTAGATTGTCTGGTGTGCGTAGTCTTTTTTCAACTGAGTCCTGTGTTTTTTTAAAAAGCCTTTTCTAGCTTGAACTATTTTTAATTTTCTTCTCTCTTTCTTTCTTCCTTTCTTTTCTTTTTTTTCTCCGAAACAGGATTTCTCTGTAGCTTTGGAACCTGTCCTGGAATTAGCTCTTGTAGACGAGGCTGGCCTCTAACTCACATAGATCCACCTGCCTCTGCCCCCTGAGTGCTGGGATTAAGGGCGTGCGCCACCACCTCCTGGCAAAGGTAGCTTTTTTTAAAAAAATTTTTTTTCTTAACAATATTCAAAACCAAGAAGCTTTAGTGATGTCCTGGCTGTCAGTGTTTCTATTCTGAACTGTACTTTTGTATCATATGTGGGCATCCTTTTCTAACCTAAATCCACAAGTATAGATTCTTTCATGTTTTCTAGACAGTTTACAATTCTGGATTTTGTATTCTTGTCTGTGATCCATTGGGCTGATCTTCCATATGAAGTGAGGTGAGGGCAAGGTCCCTGGTTGCTTTGTGTACAACAATCGAACCTTTTTAGCACTCACTTTTCCAGCTCTATTTGTTAAAATGAAAGTTTCTGCAAGTCTGGTTTCACAGTATCTCGTACTCAAATATGCCAGTGAACTGACCAGAATGAACTGTGGGCAGAGAGGACAATAGGAAGAGGCAGGACAGTGAGGACCAGTTTATACTGTGGACTAATTGCCCTGGGGCCTTGGCTGGTCAGTCAGTCAAGCCCACTGCTTTCTGCTTCTGGGTGGTGCATAGTGGTGGTCCTTCCACCTGCTGCTGTCACTCTGGTTCTCACAGGACAGACAGCGAGCGTCTCACCACTGAGTACCACTAGCTACTTGTGCCCCTACTTTGCAGAGCATTCTGTACAGCTTATTTTCTGCAACAACTAATTTACTATAACTGAGTAGTTCACCACTCTGTTTCTATCTGGGATTAAAGGCTTATTGTGAAAACTGCAGGAGGTTTCCATACATCAACTTTCTCTCCAGTGACTTCTTTCCTTCTTATGAAGTTTGACCAAATCACTGCAATGAAAAGGCAATCTCAGATAGATGACTTCTCTCTAAATGCTAAAGCTAGTTGTCTCCATGCTTTTCACAACCTCCCACAGACAATGAACCCTCCTGGAGAGACATCAGACCACCTGGGTGGGTAATATACTACAGGCCACTTTCTCACCTTTAAAGTTAGGTCCTTTTTCTTCCTGCCAGAGAACTGTCACTCTCACTGGCCTGTCTTCTCAGTGCTCCACGCCTCTCTTTTCTTTGCTTCACCCTTTAACTAGGAGGGCACCCCCTTCCTAAAGGAAATGGTGGCACTGACACTGACATGATGCAGGTGGGAAATGTGACCTTGTTTGCATCTCCAGTGGCAGCTGTGTGATTTGGGTCACTTGGTTCTCTTGTGGGAACCCTAACAACAGGAACAGGGGCTGTTTCTGACTCTTGTGGGAACCTTTTTCTCATTCTGGATTACCCTGTCCAGGTTTAATACAAGGGGATGTGGCACAATTTTCCTGCAACTTGGCATGCCATGTTTTGTTGATATCCATGGGAGGACCGCCCCTTTCTAAAGAGAAAAGGAGGAGGAGTGAATGTGTGTGTGTGTGTTGGGGGGGCACACAGGAGGGAGGAGAGGAAGGAGGAAAAACTCAATTGGGATGTATAATAAATAAATAAATAAATAAACAAACATTTTTTTAAAAAAAGGCAGGTGTCACCTTGTCCAGCCTTTATATGGTGTTTTTAAGTATAAGACTATTATATCAGCAACAGTTCCTAAAATTGAAGTATATCAAAAGATGAATATTCTTAAAGACAGATAACACTGCTGTAAAATAAAAGTTGTTCCTGCGAGTGCGACCCAAAGCACAGCATGGGAAGGACATGCAGAACTGTGTCTCGGGACCGCACATGCGAAATGTCTGCGACAGGCTGGAGAGGCCCGAAGGTGGAAGATCAGAAGCACAGCGGGGCGTAAGTAGGTTAGCATGGCCTGGACATGGATGGTGGATGGGGAAGTTGAGGAAAGAGGGCGAGAAACCAACGGGTCAGGGGTCATTATAAAATGACAAAACACCTCCAGACTGATTGTGATGAAGGCTGCACAGCTCTGAACAGGCCAAACCCACTCAGGTTAAATCTCTGTGTGTGAATTATTCAATAGGCCAATTTTATATCAATAATACTCTTTCCAATGGGAAACATGACTTCTATTGTGCTGTGTGGAAATTTTGTGGATTCTGACTCACAAATCAACTGCCCAAAAGAGGAAAACAGATTTATTACACAGGTGAAGAGACTTGGGAGTACTAGAAACAGGACTAAAGATGTGCTTTTTGGGCCACTGTCTCCATTGTCTTAGCAATTCTTGACATTATCAGTACACTACAGCACTGCTCATTTCCCACGCACCATAACCACAAGATGAAAATCTCCTTAACTGTAATAAAATATATTTAAATCTAGAAAATCTCCACAGGCAGACCTTATTTACATAGGTATTTGAACACCCAGACCTCTGCCATGTGTATTTTAGATGCTGTAAGATGGGTGGCTTCCTCCAGGCCAGGAGCATTACAACAAGAAGTGTTTCACAGCATACACTTCCCATGAATGAAACTTCCCAATTGTAGCTTTCTCCTATCTTGAATACTTTTATGGGTGAGAAAGGTATGTAGACGCACTGGTTACAATAGACAAAAATAAGGAAAGGACATTTATTTTAAACCTCAGAATTTGTGATGTTAGTCAGAAGCCACTTGTCTGCTTGCCCCCTCGGAGGGAACACGCAGCCCTGAAATACCTCCCCATCAACCCTCCTCAGAGAAAAAGTCTGTTCTACAATGGCTGCGATCAGAAGATGACAGCAGGGGTCTGTCACTGCTTCTTAGGTTTGAACCTTGTGATTATAGATGGGGAGAAACCTGGCAACAGTTAAAAACAAACCCACAGAAGACATGAACTTCTCATTCCTGTTCTAGCAGAAAACAGTTCTCTTACCATCCTGTTGATCCGCACAAAGTCTTCTGGCTTCTTGGCCCAGGGGGGAAGGTCCACATCGTTCACCACCACTTCGTCCTCCCTGACACCCAGATGGTACCCATTACTGTTGACAAACATCTCTGGTAGGTAGTAGAACTCTGGAATTAGTTCCTGTGCAGAAAAGAGATTCAGCTTAGTAGCCAGTTGGTAAAATCAGTTAGCAAAACAATTGACTTTTACCAACTATAAAAGGAAAGAAATCCTTGACCTAATTTTAGTTCTAGTCACCATTTGAAAACAATTAGGAATCCCAGAAGATGAAACATTTACACAATTCACTTTATTATTCTTTCTTTACTCTGAATTCACAGGCACAGAGAGTTGAGGGAGTGTGTGGCTCAGTAGTAGAGAACCCTTGCGTAGAGTGCTGGAGAGGCCCTATGATTAATCTTCAGTAAAACAAACAAACAAAAACAGTGATGAATGGGTACACAAAGTAAAAGCTTACAACAGTGCCAATAGATAAATGTATGAAGCTGTACCAACAACTCTATGCTGCTTAGGGACCTTTTATGTACATTAACAAACTATGACAATAAAGTATCACTGGTATGGGAAGTCCTTATGTATATGTGTTGCTTTTATTGGTTAACAAATAAAGAAGCTGTTTTGGTCTGTGATAGGTCTGACTAGAGCAAGGCGGGGAAGATTGAACTGAATGCTAGGAGGAAGAAGGCAGAGCCAGTGAGACTCCATGTAGCTGCCAGAGGGGAAAGACATGAATTGTCAGTTGGAACCTTGCTGGTAGGCCAGGAGCACCATGGTAAAATATAAAATAATGGAAATGGATTAATTCTAGATGTAAGAGCTAGGTAGAAATAAGCTTAAGTTATTGACCAAACAGTATTGCATATAATATAGTTTCTGAGAGATTATTTCGGGGCTGAGTAAGGCCACAGAGATGCTGAGAAAATGGGAACTCCAGTGACACTATATATGTGAAATACAAGTTCAAAGAAAGACCTATGTGTAGAAGGTCTCTTTCTTGAGAGAAGGGGCTGGAAGGAAATCTTTAAGGTACATAAGCATGCTTTCTGTCAGTCATGGTAGGGCTTTACTCTAGGCACAGTGGAAAAGATGGTGCCACAAGCTGGCCATCGCCAATAACAGAGCAATGCAGACAGGCAAGGACTGCAGTCCAACAGTCCAGAGGGCTGGAATGGGAGGTGTGCTACGAAGCAGTGTTTCCAGGGAGGACCTTCCCTTCTCTTCCTCATCTGGCCAATAGGATATGCTTGTAAAGCAGATGTTATCTGTACTGTTAAGATGAACTGTCGAAATTTAAAGTTTGAAGGAATCTTTCCCAAGAGTCACAACAATCACCAGACAGATGTGTTTTAAAGTAGGTATCAAGAAATGTCTGATTTTGAACAGCTTATCGGTAAGGCCACAGGGGGTGTAAAGACACCAGAGCAACTGCAATGGACTATTCTGAAAAAGAAATTGAGGGTAATTTGGTGTTTTTGATGGAGAAGGAGGAGAGAGTAAAGCCATAGAAGTCTAGGGAGAAGCAGCTGATGCAGCAGATAAAGTCGGAAGTTTTATGTCTGCTTCACTGCTTTACAATTTTGTTTCACTTAGCCAATTTTATTGAAAATTGGTAATGTAAATGTAGGATACTATTAGCATCTCATTATATTTACACTGATATTATTTAAGAGATTTTTTATTTTAATAATATTACAAAAACTATGAGAGCATCACCTCTGAGGTCTAGCCGGTTTTGTGGAATGACATCGTCATCTCCTGTCCCAGACCAGAATCACTGAAATCATACTTTGGGTCACTCAGTTTTAAAGTTGAAGATGGCATTACCAGGTCTTACTGAGCTCTGCCATCATTCTAAGTACTCTACCTGTGCTTTCTTAGTGTTGACAAACACTTCACAGGATGGACGTCTCACCATCGTGTTTTATAGATATGAACATAGATGCAAAAAGAAGTGAGAAATCTGCTCAGCCAAGCAGCCTAGGTATCCTATAGCATGAAGTCCAGCTATCCTGGCTGAGCCTGAACTCTGATTGCATACTGCCAAGGAACAGTTTTAAATTTCTAAGTTTTGGGGTGTTCTGTTAGATATAAATTAAAGAAACAGAAAGTTAGAATTAAAGGAGAAGTACAGTACTAGTAAAAGCTTAAAATGTGAGGCACTGGTTTTGGGACTAGGACGGAGGCAGGTTTCTGGAGGTGAGATGCTACAGTGGGGTGGTCTTTGAGATTACTGAGGAATCAGAAGAAAAGGTCCCTGAGTGATGCAGAGTAGGGAAGTTTAACAAGACTGCATCCTCAAAGGACCTAAGGAACTTGTGTGCACTGAACTTTCTAGGCAGAATGACCTAGATATAGGTCATGACCAGGGATATACGGACATGGTACTATGACAGATAAGGAAGAAACTGCTCAGGTTTGAGGCAGGGTTTTGATATACAAAGGTCTACTCTCAGCAAAAGATTGCCAAAATGAAAGGCTGGCTCGGGGTCAGTTTCAGAGTAACAGAATGTAGCCACAGGGTGAAGCTCAAGACAGGGGTGCAGAAAGTCCCCCAAGAGCTAGGTGCAGCCAGCTTAAGGTGGTGTTCGCACATCTGTACAGCCATACAGTGAAGTCTAGGGATCTTCTGGGCACTGAAGCTAGTGTTCTAAGTCACAGCCTCCTGCCTCAAAAGATTTGAGTGAGTTTTTTTTTTTTTCTAATACTGAACTATAATTAAACATACAGGGTGTCTACGTGTTCTTATAGCTGCTAGTCCAACAGGCAAAGGGACCTTGGTCCAACTTCCTACAAGAAAGCAGGCAGAAAAGCATTCAACTTCAAGAAGAGGCAATGCATGAAAAAGAAAAGACCCAAAGGACAGAGCCAAGGCCCCAGGGGATGAGAGTCATGGGGTACAAGGAGTGTGGAGCCTCAGGCAGACATTAGCTAGTGACCAAGAGACCAAAAGGAGGCTTCTGAAAGTCTCTTAATATTTAGGAAACTCCTTGTCAAAATGAGCTGCTTTGAGCACTTAGCAGACAAACCAAAAGCATATTTGTAAACTGTGAAATGTTTCTTAAAAGGAACACAGTCTGCTCTGCCTCCATGCAGGAATGCTAGACAAAGCTGGCCAAGGTAACTGCTGTTCGGGTTACTGCAGCCTCCCTCCACCCCACCCCCCAGTTAAACAGTTTCTCTTTAAGGAAAAAAATTCAAAGAATTTAAATTTCACTAAACGAAAAATAGTACAGAAAGACACAGAATATTATTAAAGAAATGGCAAAGTGGCTATTGTAACAGGAGTTCTGTGTCTGCAAATGTGATTTCTAGTTTATTTCAACAGCTACACTAAAACCCTACGGTACAGTTAATAGTAGTATATGCGTCCTGTCAAAAATAGGAAAATATCCTCAAACACAATTTCTAATTTATAAGCTTATGACAAGTTCAAGCTGCTGAGAAATTGAACTGGAAAGTATGTCTTAGGATGATAGAAGACCACTATTAACACTATCATAATTGTGTACCTATTGCATCAAATCTGACATTTCAGTTTAATATATTTTGCTGAGAGCCGCACCATTTTATGGCTTCCTGGTGAAATCAAATCTAACCCAGACGTTTTCACTTTCCTAATATAATTCACTGTGAGGTTTTAAAGCTGCCAGCGCTTTCCTATCCTTTTCCCAAAAGATTGATGCCTGGGCATCTGTTAATTCCACAGGAGCTCATAATGGGTCACTGAGGCAGTGTGAGCACCTCCATTAACTGCATTAATTTACACTACGTCACCTTAATGACACTGTGTCACAGCCACCTTTTCTACCTCTGCACAGCTGCTCAGAAAGTAGGGGGACAACTTTGGAAGGTATTAGGGAAAATTAGTGTAAGGACACCTCTAAGTGGAATAGCTCCGCTGGCAGGGCATGGCTGAAAGAAAGAAATTTAAAATCAAAATACAAAACCCCAGAACCAAAACTAACTGATTTGACTCCACTCCTGGGAGCTCTCCTCAGAGGTCACTTGGGCAGCTCCCCTTCCTACTCATCTTGCGTTCATTAGCACAGGAAGAAACTGACATTAATGGAGAGAGACAGAATGAAACCATCCACCACCGCATTCAGCCTCCCTTGCAGGGTTGTCTAAGTCAGTAGATAGTGCAGAGATAGGTTTCTTCTCCGGAAACAAAAACATGTTTCTTTGAAAACATGTCAACTGCAGTATTACACAGTAGAGACCAGAAATAAAAATCCTTGCTCCAGAAGTTAGTGGGATTATTATTCCTAGTAACCCACTCTTCCCTACTAAATCGATCATGATTTTAGAGTAAAAATACCTTAATAGATGTACTAAACCATGCACTTAAAAATTTCAACTCACCAGTTATTATTCCCAAAAACCTCAAACATTCTAACATTTTGTTATAAGACATACATTCTGATGCTGTCACAGTAAGTATCAGAACACAAGTGGACATATGTGATTGGGCACACACACGCACAGGTGTGTACACACATGGAATAGAAACCTGATGGAAGCCATATTGCCTGCAATTTATTCTTTTCCTTTCTCATTCTTCCTTCCCTTCCATTCCTTCCTTCTTTTGAGACAGGTTTCTCTGTAGCGCTGGCTGTCCTGGACCTCGGAGCTCAGCTTGTACGTATCATATTATGGTAAATAAGTACAGAAAAGTGCTGTGCATAGAGACAGTGTTGTCCGCTCCCTGATGCACTTTCCAGAGCACCAGCAACCACATTAGTTCTTACAGCAGGATGACTTGGGGACGGGGAAGGAGCAGCCTAGCATATGGCTTTAGGGAGGGAGCTGTCATCACTGGGGATGATGGTTTGATAATATGTTTAAAAATTAAACATGCAGATGGCATTGAACTACTGGCCCCATTATTAAGAAACACTCTTTATACATACAAGGTACACAGAGCCCCATTCCAGGATACAGAAGTACATTTCTCTGTGTGAACAGACATGCAGTCTGGCAGAAGAAAGAGAGCCTAGGATATAATCACACAGTATGCAAGGACCAAGGTTGCTGGTCAAGGAGAACTGAAAACACAGTCTGCACAATGTCAAGGTGGAGAAATACATTCCTTAGTCACCAATTAAGTGTGTGTGTGTGAGGTCTCGGGGTGGGGTTTAGGATGGCTGCTTTGGGATGAAAACCAAAACTTCCAGGTTAGCAATCATCACACTGATGGTTTCTTTGATGCCTAACTTCAGGTAGTCAAGTACCACAATTAGCAACAGAATGTGAATGCTCCTTAAATGGTAACAGGAGGAAGGTTGTGTGTGTGTGTGTGGGGGGGGGGGGGGGGGTGGTGGTGGTTAGTAACTGAAATGCAGCTTGCTGAGGTCTCTGGTACTTGAAGCACTGACCCAGTTCTCAGGGTGGAAAGGAAAGTTGAGAAGTGTGATTACATAAATAAATTAGAAATAACTGACCCCATGTACGTGTGGGCATGTGAGGGTGAACCTCTAAGTTAAGTAAAATGCCAATTCTTTGCTGTTACGATGCTAGGAAACAGTGAGGATGTATTTCTACTTGAAATAGTTCGCTAAAATAAAATACAGCTCTGACTAACATGAAAATAATGAATTCCATAAAGGATTTTGTGACACGAGGCTGAGACACTGCTGCTCATGGACTGCATTCCAGCTCCCAGTCTCCTCTTTATTCTCCAGGTATATCAAGCAAGGGTAGGCCTCCCTGATTCCCGGCCACAGTCAGTTGGAACGATGGCTTTTAGATATTTTAGTTTAACTCCTTAGGGATGTTAGGACTGTTAGGTAAATGAGGCCACCACATTTGACTCAGCAGGGCTGCAGGTTAAACACTTGCTTTTTCTACACGTCATATGCATAAATTAAAATGGACTCTCATAAACTTTAATAGTAACAAATAAAACACGGATGTGCTACATCCTGCTTCAACCTCGTTTGTGACTTGCTTTGAAAACGAAGTGAATACACAGCTTCTATTCACTCAAAAAATTCTCAGTTTGCTGACACTGTATTGCCTTGTATAAATATTTTGGATAGCCACAGATATGCAAATCAAATAGCTGAGCTTAACTGGCTCCCTTTTGTAGGACTAGGCCCTAAATTCAGTGACACCTAACAATTTTTTTTTTTTTTGATTTTTCGAGACAGGGTTTCTCCGTAGCTTTTGGAGATTGTCCTGGAACTAGCTCTTGTAGACCAGGCTGGCCTCAAACTCACAGAGATCCGCCTGCCTCTGCCTCCCAAGTGCTGGGATTAAAGGCGTGCGCCACCACCGCCCGGACGACACCTAACAATTTTGCACTAAGTGGCAGTGATAGAAAAAGTGCTATAAAGAGTAAGAAATAACTTGATCATGTGATCTTACTATCAGACAGAGAGAGAAAGGGAGCACATTTTCCTCATGCATCAATCATGACCATGTAGTCCTTTCTTTTTTTTTTTTTTAAAAACACGTATAAACAATGATCAGATCTTTGTATTTAAAAATGGTAAGTAGTACCAACTGTAGAATTGTTCCGCTCTCTTTCTGGGTATTATGTGTGCTGGCTTAATCTAATATGTACCGTTGCCTAGTATCCCCAGGCAGTCAAATAAAGGCTAAGGCTGGACAGAAAAGCGTGCATTTTAAATGGGTCTTGTCATTAATGCTTTATTAATTGCCCCAGGCTACAAAAACCCAAAGCTGGGCCAGCTATAACACTATGACACATTAAGGTCAGATTCAATTCGCACTGTGTTTTATGCAATGGGCCAAATATTGAATGAATAATAGGAAAGGTAAGTTATAGATTTTTCTTTCCATCTCCTGATTATACCATTTGGATTAGGCAAGGGCTTTTTAAAAAAAATTGAAAACACCTTAATTGATTGAAACAAAAAAATCCTGAATTGTTTTTTAATTGTTCTTAATTGAAGCTACTTGTTATTAACAAAAACCTCCAGTGCCAGGTAGGGAGCACCTCCTTGCTAGTCATTGTTAGGGAGACTCTAGGAGCCCCTAAAACAAGGCTTCTGTCATTCCTCCTAGTTGTACGCCAGAACAGATGATATGACCTTACTGCTTAAGGCACCACACACCTTGATCATATGCTATAGAGAAATCAAGCTGGAACGCAGCTGGGAGTCTCTTCCAGACAGCTTTCAAAATGCTGGAAGGAGCTATCTAGGCTGCTGGGAGTTACGATGCCAACCTCGTCCACCATTAAGGTCCTGCTCATTTAGGCAATGATGGCACAACTGTTAAGTGATTCAGCTACTACTCTGGTTATGTATAAGACCCTTTCCACAAAAGGAAATCCGTATCTGGTATTATAAACTTTCCCAAAAGCCCACAGTGCAGGTGTCATTGGACCTAGTGAGGAGTTCAACTTTGTTGTTTAACTAACGTGTCAACCCACCTTCTAAATGTATTTTTATACCTAAAGACTATTACCACTCTCAGTTGTAATCAGAGAAACCTCTCCTTTCAGTGAGCTGCTAGAAGGCAGGCAGACACTATGGCTGTAAGAGGTGCTGAAAATTGAGGGTTGAGTGCTCGGCCCTTAAATAAGACATTTATATCATCCCCTGTAAGGCTGGGGAACACTGTGGAAGAGGACAAAAAAACATGGTAAGAGTCAGGGGGAAGGGAGAAAGACTGCAAAATAGCACCTTCTAGGCAACACACAGTAATCACAGTCATGAACTCTCAGAAACAACCAATGACGACCTCATGTCTGCATCAACAGTTAGGATGGAGGAGGGCCTCAGGGAGCCCTAGCTTTCACTGCTGAAACATTTCTTATGGGTTCAAGGAAAGGGGGATCATTTCTTTAAGTTATGTATCCCCTGGTTACCATCCCTCCAGGTTTCAAGGGATATTCCCAATATACCAGTCACACAGATGGCCCTGATTAAACTGAATGGGTCACACAACAATAACAGACTTTCTTTAAGATTAGATGGAGTATACAATTTTAATATAATGGAACAAAGCCATAATATAAAATGTCATATATATCCATTAATACTTAGAAATAAAACGTTCAACAAGTTTTAGATTTCTGTGACTATAAATGATAAATAAACTATATACCTTGACATCAGAGGTATCTCTCTGACTGGTTCTCCATGACCTTGCAATGGATGAGAAGGTTCGGTCCGGATGGTCAAATTTCCCATCATTTGCATTGAGGAAGAAGGTTGTGAATGGCTCCTGAGCAAAGAAAAGAAACAGTCATTGGATCACACAAAACACAGATATAGTAATTTCTTTGCAAGAACAAAACAAAACAAAAGAACCCCAAAACAGTATCTCTGAGGCCCTCCATAGGCAGAAGAAATCTGTGTGGGTAAAAGCCCACACAAGGCATCATGAGATGTGGTGTGTCATTGTAGCCTGACAATGTCTTACTCTACAGCCTGGCGTGTCGTCTGGTCCCATGAGCATGTCTCTTCATCTGCAAAGTGATGATGTACTCTATGATTTCTCTGTAAATGATTCTCATGGCATTTATAAAGGAGATTTTCTTATTTTCTAGTAGTTCAGCCTATACACACTAACTACAAGATGACAAGCCACACACTCTGAGTGGGGAATTAATTTGGTGATGTCCACCTTGGGGTAGCTAGGAAGGGCCACCCAAGCACAGGGTCCACATGATGCTCTGATGCTCTTTTAGAAATGTGATTCCTATTCTGTTATCTTGACAGCTCCAGGGAGCTCTGGAGGAAGTCCCAACTATGCAGCGTCTTAGTTCTCACATTCCCTTCTGCTGTGCTGGGGTCTTAGTGTGCTGTTTTAGCTTCTGGCCCTTGGTGCATGTCATTCCTTCTACAAGGTACAAACATCCTTTTCCCTCACTAGACACTTACCCCTGAAGACTATTCTGGATTCCCTGTGCGTTCTGAGCAGCTCCATCTCCTCCGACTCTGACCACTGTTCATACAGCTATCTGACTGCATTCCCCACTATGAAAGCACCCTGTCTATCTCATTCCCCACTATGAAAGCACCCCTGTCTATCTCATTCTCTAGTTCATCTCCAATACTCAGTTTAACTCCTGGTGCAGAGATTCTCTACCTAATCTGTTGAATAAGGAATGAAATAAAGTGAATGTGACTGAGACTTGACAATTTCAAAACTCTGTAACTGTTGCCTTCGGTTAGCATCCTGAGTACTGTGTCTATTAATAAGGGTGTCTCCCACAGCGGGAGCCTGGGATAATGCTGTCACACACCTGGGCATTTATCCCATTTTAATGCCTGCTTTGCAGTTTTTAGGTTGAATGGGAGCCATTGCTTTTGACATCACTAAATTTGTCTCCAAAAAGAGTAAATAGTATACATTCTCACTAAGAATTCCTTAGTTGGCTATATGTAGAACAAAACAAATGTGTATTTATTTTGCCACACTTAACCCTTTTCTCTGAAGCTTATGATGGGGGAAGATCAATAAAAAATCAATACCACACTTGATGATGCTAAGAATTCTGTGGGGTATTTTCCTAATTAGTTGTTTCTTTTCTTTACTATGCTTTGTAGGCTTCTAGTTTACTAACAAGGCAGTGATAAATGCAGTAGATATGCTCATTAAATCAATCAAAACTGGACTATAAATTGAAAATAGTACTGAAGAACTGAACAAAATATGACTGGTTATTTTTACCCATCTTGAGCAAGTTCCTTTAGGTAACTCTGTCACAAAACTGCCTCTGTTACTTCATCACTATAAGCTGACACTGACAGTAATCTTTGGGATAATTGCAGGAATTAAATAAGATTAAATGAAATAAAAAGAAAAAGCTTGCTATGCTGTACCTGACACAAAAAAATAAAACAAGCCAGCTTTGTGCCCACAGACTGCCAGTTCACTGGATTCCTCCAAGGGCACTAGCTGCCTTCCCTGCCTTGTAATCTCTACAGACCAGTTAATTCCATGTTAGAAACAACATTGGTTTGTTTTTGCTTTTGTTTCCTTCACTCCATTTCAAAAGCAAACCAATCCCCAATCATGTGTAATCCCAGTAAAGGAAAGATGCTGCAGGGACACAGCCCACTCGAGCATGTGGCTCTGGTGGGCCTTGCCCTTCTCCTCTATTCCCTCTGCCTTGCTCAAAACTGTTAGATACACTCCTAAATCTAGCCACCAAGGTTTATTCCTTTATTTGGCCACTTTTTCCTCCTGAGTCTGACTATCAAAGTCCAGAAATCAGAAGGCCCTTTTGGTTCACCTAAATAACAGGATCAATTAAAATTAAACACCTAACAGGATTGTTCCCTTTACCTTTATAAACTTCCATTTGTGCAATGTCTGTCTCCTCTCTGTCTAGAGGAAGTGCTTTGTCCCTCTGGAACAAATATTCCTGCCCTTTTCCTTGTCCCCTTTCCCTGGTTCCTCATCTTCTATCTCCTTTACCACCATTCCGACAGAGACCTCCCCCTTTTCTCCTAAGAATGACACCTGTAAGGTCATTTGATACCAGTGTTTCCCGCCACTTTAGCAACCCCCACCCCCAGGCCCTTCCTAATCTGGGTCCTGGAAGGGAGCCCGCGCTGTGCGGGGAGTCCCCTTCAGGTGCAGATCTGAAGTGATGTGGAACCTTACCTTACAGAGAGGGAAGGGAAGAAGGTTGATACTGAGACCTTCCTGTGTCAAGAACACAGAACCTTCTGTCTGTCTGGGCTGGTACCCTGACTTTGTCTCCCCAGCAGGTGTGTGCCTCCCCTCAGCATCTGAGCAAGTTCAAGGTCACACTTCTATGTATTGGAAGGATAACTATTTCTACACTACTCTGAAGCCTGAGATTTATTTTTTTCTATTTCTTTTGAAAGAAGCCCAAAGTAACTCTAGAATCAGTCAGCATTTTCTACTGATTAACCTGCCTGCCTTCTGTGTGCCACACTTCTGATTCCTGATTAAATATCCCTTATTATCCTCTAAGTGCATATGCACTGCCCTAAGTGTCAGCATCCAAACTGAAAAGTTTTATTTGGATTGGCTAAGTGATGCTTGTGAAATTTCTGTTGGTCACTTTTACTAGAAACAGGTATTTTTAATGATACATGTCAGTCTAGTTTCTAGGGTAAGCTTTCTAAATAATATGTAATTATAAAATGTTCTAACTTATAAACATATGTAAATAGTAAAATTTTGAATGTTACTTATTTACCGTCCTAAGGATTATTGTTATTAAATGTCTGAAGAACTGAAGCACTAAATGGCTGAGCTGGCATGCTAGTAGGACAGGAAACTGGTCGTGAGCAGCATGTGCTTACTCGGGTGATGTCTCAGGTCCAGGAAGGACAAAAGTCTGATCACAATTGTCCCATGTATTAAGGAATCCCAGTTTCAAATGAGGGTTTTATTCAACATTTGTCTGACAGTCATCAATGAAACAGTCTTTCTAGGGTCTGGCAAGTCAGACAAGTGATTTCATTGGTAGTTTGCCTAAAAAAATATTCTTAATTTAAAGTAATGAGGTATATAGCTAATTAGCATTTTTATGCAATTATCATCATTGTCATACTAAACAGATTGAATGATAATGAATTTAATGACTAGGTCTAAAAGACTTGAAAGGTAGAGGACAGACACTTATTTTAATATGTATAATGTTTTATGAACAGATTCTTAGTGACACAAATTATAAGTGCATTTTCTACTTAGAGTAAGAGTGAAGAAAGCAAAGTTCCCTGGCCCGTTAGCTGAATGCTCCCTAAGCTCTTAGACCACAGTACTCGTCTCTGATCCTTTGCATGAAGCTTTGAGCTAAATAAGTCCTCATGAAAGCAACTCTAGACATCCGTGTTGTCAGATACAGCAAGCCAACAGATGCAATATTGTGCTAGAAATACAACAGTTCTTTGTATTCTAAAACAAGTTCAAAAATATTAAACATTGCATAAATATTTTTTATTGGTTACATGATCAAAAAGTAACATTTTGGGTATACCAGGTTTAAAATTTATGAAACAAATTCTCCTTTTTTCTTTCCCTTCTCTACAAGAGTACTAGAAGCTGTGAGACAGCAATGCTTTCTGTGCAGTAGACATGGAAGATCACTGTCAGGTCCTTGCATAGTTCCAGGCCCATGCTCCACCCACCAGAACAGCAGGCTGGCCAGAGGACCTGTGCTTCATGACTGGAGAAAAGATTTCGCATACTTGGAAGAGAAAAATAGTAAATAAACCAGGTGATTGAAAACAAGTGTTTTTTTCTTTTAATGAGTTTTGTCAATCTGTCTCCCGATTTGACTAATTGGCATTCACATAAAACACATAAGACCACTGTGTCTATTTCAAGATGCAATCAAACATTACTCTTATTTAAATCTCAGGCAACCAATTGAAACATCTATTGTTGTTGTTACACACAGCTCTGGACTTTCTTCTACCGCCAAGAGACCTGAGCGAGGTATACTCCCTTTTACTGTGGTGGCTCACCAAGGCTGTGGCATCCAGTCTGATGAGGTATAAAAAGGCCTCCCAGAGAGCAAACTTTCGGTTTAAATGTTTTCTAAAAATGTATTTATGTTATGATTCTGCGGGCCTCTTGCAAATTGTAGGTAGACTAACCTGATGAAACCAAACAGGTTGTGTGGGTTGAGAAGGGCAGTTCTTGGCCTGCTTAGGTACAGCCACATTTTTTTTCTCCTTGGCTCCACAGCAATCAGCAAATAGAACTTCACAGACACCTTTCCCCCTAGATTTTAAATCTATGCTTCCTGCACTGACTTTTTTTTTTTTTTTTTTTTTTTTTTGCTTACGGTTCATTCATGCCTAGGAGGTCATTCCCCACTAGTGGTGATAATGACTGGAAATTTATGGCCTAGCCACTGGTGATCTGAGAACTGAATTTATCAGTCTTTTTTTCCCCTTATTTCTGAGTACAAATCAATTAAGACTACATTGTATGTCTGTGGTTACCAGAAATTAGCTCCCCTGAATCTTGACTGATCAGTTCTGCAGTCGGCTCAGTTCTGAGGCTAGAGCCACAGGATGGATTCCATGAACTCTGTGTGGGGAATCAGAGGATGTCTTTCCTTGCTGAGAGAGAGGGGCCTTCTGCCTATGCAGAGTACTGTGACCATCAACTGAAGGAGGGCAGCTCTGACTGGTTCCTGTAACCAGACCTGGCCACAACAGTGATGCTCTCAAAATTACAATTAGATCTAATTATTTTAGGGTCTAAAATACAGTTAAGATTTTTCTTAACTTCAAACTTCACGCAATTGAGCTAAATTTTGAAGAGATGAGATTAATTTAAAAATCTTGGTCTAAAAAAGAGATCACAATTTTCTATCTTTACCTCTGGTTTAGAAGTGCAGAGTTCGTTTCTTAAAGTCAGTTTTGGGTTTGTTTCATTAATATATTAATTGATCTAAAATTAAAGATGTACACCAGAGGGTCCTTTATGACTCATTTGGGGATATGGGTGTGTGTGTGTGCGCGCATGTGCAAGGTTAGGGTTAGTAACAGAGTGCCTGCTCAGTGTGTGCTAATCCCCAGCTCAAAAATAAGTATAGGAATTTAAGTAACTGGCTTCCTAATGATCTTACATTAAAAAAAAAAATCAACGTGTGGTGCGCACATCTGCAATCCCAGCACTTGGGAAGCTGAGAGGGAAGATCACAGGCTGATGGAGTCCATTCTCTGCACACTAGTCTCTAGTCATTAAAATGGACACCACATGTGCACGATTTCCAGTTCATTCCCTTACACCGCAGACTCTGGAGATAGAGCATTAAGGATGATACTTACAATTCGAACTAGCCACGACAGAGCAGAAGTTGCTGTGGAGTAGTGTGTATTATAGTGGTAGGGTGGGCTTTGATCATCTTCCCATGTCTCATAACGCTCTGCGTAAAACACTGCTCTTTTTGGGTTCAGAGCACCAATTGGCTGTAGAAAGATAAAAGGAGATGTTGTGTTCCATACAGTAACAGTAAAAACCCTGGATGTCCAGGCTTTATCCTGAAAGTTCTCAACACTAATGGACTGCTCTCTATGGCATTTTCAATGATCTTAATTACTAATTACTAATCAGAGTACTCATTAAAAATACACAGCAACATGAGCAAAATTCCCAGACTCAGCTGTAACTTCAGAAAATCAGATTTTCAGGGCGATTCAGTTTTTTTTATATATTTTTTAATCATATTCTTGGACCTCTCCTAACCTTTCCCATATTCTTCCCATCTCCCTTCCCTACCCATCTAATTTTATGTTCTTTCTTGCATGCACATGCGCTTTCTCTCTCCTCCCTCTCAACAAAATAAAACAAACAAGGCTTTCTGCTCGTCTGCTGGTCTAGTGAGTAGGCCAGGTCTAGACATGCAGAATGACCCCAGCGAGTTCATGGACCTCTAAGTGCCCTGGGAATGCTCCACAAGCAACTTCATCATTGGTGCCAAAGACCAGATGAACATGGCCAAGGGTAGCAGGATCAGAGATTGGTTTAATGGCCAGTTTAAAACCTATGTTATCTGCCGGGCCATTCACAGAATGGGAGAGTCAGATGCTTGTATTTTCCAATTGGCTAAGGCTTATGGGATTGTCTCAAAGAACTTTTGACAAAAATATATTTAAACAAAACAAGCAAGCAAACAAAAACACTAAGAAAAAAATACCCAAACAAAATGTAAGTGATTCAGTTTTGACTGTTCAGGTCAAATTAGTATTTTCATGGCTCCTTTTCATTCTCCTCAGCTCCTTGGCATATATGACGGACACTGAGCTTGGCAATCATTATTAAGACAGATTTCTATATTGTTGTCTGATGTGGGAGTCCCCTCTGTATGCTATGAATATCATTGATTAATAAAGGAACTGCTTTGAGCCTATAGCAGAGCTATAGGGGAACAGAGCTAGGCGAGGAAAACAAATGGCATCCTGGGAGAAAGGAGGCAGAGTCAGAGAGAAGCCATGGAGTCCCACCAGAGACAAACACCTGAACTTTACCTGGTAAGCCACTGCCACGTGGCAATACACAGATTAATGGAGATGTGTTAAATTAACATGTAAGAGTTAGCCAATAAGAAGTTAGAGCTAATGGGCCAAACAGTGATTTAAATAATATAGTTTCTGCATTATTATTTCGGGGCAGCTGGGCACTAACTAGCGGCCTCCTCCAACAGTTGTCTTTGCTGAGCTGTGGAACTTTCTCACTTTTGCATTGGCTTTCCTGTTTGCCAGGCTCAGTGGTTTCTATTCTCTATGCTAAGGAGCCAAAGGCCTGGAGAGGAAGCACAGCTGGAATGCTGGTCTTGTCCTGTCACTGCCCAATGGGAGCACCAATCCTTTTAAGCAACAAAATGAGTAAAGAGGCTGATTCAGAGGCCTCGGATCCCCACAGAGGTGCTCTGTGAAGCCACTAGGACATGGGCTACTTTCTTCCCTCCCAAAGCACATGCCAGGTGTTAGACCATGGCTAAAGACTTCTTAGCACACCCCATCTTTAAGGATTCCTAGACATCCTCACTGTACAAAGTGAGGACACGACTGCTCCGAGGTATGGCTGAGGGGAAGGTTGTTAATGTGACTATGAGGGAGAGAGCAGCCAGAGACATCTAGAAGAGTCCTGAGCAGGGAGAGAAAAGAGTAGACTAAACATGGTCAGCACAATGGACCAGGCCTTGAAAGGAGAGGGGACAGGAGAGGTGAGGGCGAGGAAGATTGGGGGCGGGGGCATAAGAGAGTGCCTGGCTGAAATGAGAAGTTAGGGCAAAGAAAGCCCATGAGCTCGAGAACTTTAGGGTGGAGGACAGTGTGAGAAGAGCTGAGAAGAGCCACAGGTTCTGAGGGAGCCTAAAGGCCAGCCGGAACTTTGGTGCGCTAATAGCCATTTGTCCCAGTTTCTTTTGGACCTGACACTCAGGTGTACAAATAGCAAACTGCCTTAGTTCAATTTTATGTCTGGTTTTGGTTTCTTCATATATGGAATCCACACTTATTAACTAGGTTCAAGTTACTGTTTTCAATTGCATACTGTACAAATAAGTGTTTACACAGAAAATGAAAGTATTAAGTATATCACTCTTTACCCACAAATTTAATATTACTACTTAAGCATGAAGCTCCCCAAAAGCTTAATCTTAACAGGAGAAGTCATAGAAATTAGTGTTTCAATGGGACATATAATGTTACACAAGAGAGAAAAATTCATTTATAAATTGCTGTGAGCATTTTCTTTTAGTCCCAAAAGACTAATTTAAACAATACAATGATGCCAGCAGTTAGGGCTGATAGAATTTTCATAATAAGCTCTTATTTGTAAGGGTGCTTAGCCTGAATATTAAAGTTATTTGTAAAGTATGTTCCTTTTATGTTAGCCCTTATTATGACTTAGCCAATATTAAACAACTTAATTATTCATTTTTTAAAGTTGTGTTTCATGGGCACAAGAGAACTAATATTTTAAAGTTCCAAAACTACTGGCCTTTGTGTTTGTGACCCATGGGATGAAAGTATAAACCTTCCACTGAAATACTTAAAGGTTTAAACCCCATTCTGGGTTAAATTCTGCCAGTTACCTATAAAATCTTTTTACACAGATGTATAAAAGGAAGGCATTTTGTTAAACATTTTGTAAAGTTCTCAGTATTTAAAACAGAGGGAACTTTTATGGGTGGTGAAAGGGCAAGTGCTAGCAAGTAGAAAAAAATGGAGGTTACCGAGTGAACTGATCTAGACTTGGCTGGGTGTCAGCATAACTGGGTTCCTAACTCAGCGAGCCATCTGAAGGGTGCTCTTTCCGTCTTGAATGTGCTGGCGGAACTCTCCATTGCAGGAGGATCAACTTTTACTGATACTGTTTGCACTCTAAGACCTCACAGAATACGGAAGAAGGAAATAGCCAGTCTTCTAATCCTTCCCAGCCCTTTTCCTCAACTACCCAAAAAAGATAAAATAAATATTTACATTTTCTATTTTGCTCAGGTTTCACTGAAGTCTCTCTATTGGAGTGTTTGCAGAATTGCGCTCTGTATGAAACAGCTGTACTGTATTAAAGCCTGCAAACCTCTCCTTTACTGCTTAAAATACATTTCTGATTTGGAATTTTTGTACAATGAAGCCAGAAATAAATTTTCTAAAATAAAATGCACATAATTTCACTTTTAGTTTCTAGTAGTCAAGAAACAAACTTTTTAAAAGGAAAACAAGCTTCTAGTTGTTTTGGAGGAGATTCAAATTCTGTTACTAGATGGCACCCTTTCTTACTTGAGCCAAGGGCATCAGATTCTCTCACACTCATGTCAACATCTGTCTACCTCTGTATTGATAAAGTTGTAAGTCTGGCATCTTTTTAAAATTTAGGTGAGTTTTGTAGTGCAAATCCCATATGAATCTGACAGAAAAATATAGTTTAAAATTATGGTGAAAACACACGATTATATTTACTGAGGTCGACACATTTAGTTGGCAATAGGAACTATTTTTATCAGCAGTGCCATTTAGATACAGCCATTGCTGTGGTTTCCACTTAAGAGTTTAAAAACTTGATATTAGATCTACTGATACTTTATGCAGCAAATGAACAGTGACACATGACATAAAATCAGGCACAAATAGTAGGCAGAGACTAAAAATATGATTTCTAGACCCTGCTGTTTTTAGAAGGGTTACTATGCTTATATAGCTTGCTAAAATGTTATTGACATCTCAAGAGAATGAACTGACTATGTGCCCAGACATTCACATGCCTGGTAAAATTGGGGAGGGATTATTATGTAGCAACAAAACACTGCTGTATCTACTGAACAAATGTTGTTTGGCCCTCCATTTGTATCCCTTATCTACTCCACAAAGATCCAGGAGCGAAATCTGAGTACCACAAAAAAAAAGTTGTTTTTTTTTTTAATAAGTTTGCGATTTTTATTGCATGGAAAAAAATACCCTGAAAGATGTCAACATAAATTTACATTTTTCAGGATAGATACATTGCATCTATTCATCTTTCATCTACCTACCATTTGTCTATATCTATCTATCTATCTATCTATCTAAATACATAACTGCTTCAAACAAATAACAGAACACACTCTACTTGGGTGGTACTTGGATGTATTTGGATGAGAATTCTTTTGATATATAACTGAGTGATTTTTCCATTTTATTTATTTTTCTATTTTTGCTTTCTGTTCCTTTATCATTGATCTATCAATATTTTCTACCTTAAAATCTCCTAAGTTATATCAAGTCATTTTTTTTGGAATAAGCATCTATATAAGGCAAGGAAAAAATGACTAAAAAAATTTAAGTTAAAAAACTACTGGGTAAATATTGTATGAAAAACTAGAGTGTTGAGAGAAAACTCTGAATACAAAGCTTAACTGACTTAAACAATAAAAGTCAACTCACTTAAAGAATAATCAGTTTTATCAAAGTATATTATAATTTTTAAGACTTAAAAGGGCTTTTCAAGGAGAAACATGATGTCCACTACAATAACCTCAGCACTGTACATCACTAAGACTGGAAATGAGCATGTCAGTGCTCACAGTACTGAAATTCTATCTGTATCACTTAAAATGTTGCTGTGGGCACTACTTGTCACCCTGACTGTTAAGGACACTGTATATTCACATAAGATTGTTTTCTCGTTCATTTTCTAGAGTGATTTACATAAGTGTTTGGGGTCTGCAAGAAGGAAATGGCTACCTGATGACCCCTCTGCCCACAACACTGTGTTACACTTTCATGCTGACTCTAAGATTAGAATCTCAGTGTGACTTCTTTTCATAACTGCCCATTTACCTCCTTATGCACCAAAGAATCTCAGAAACAGATGGAACCAGCTAGGCACAGTGGTACACACCTATAATCCTAGCACATGAGAGGCAGAGGCAGGAGGTCAGACCCAAACAAGGAAGGAACAGAGGAAATGGAGGGAAGGGTCAGTC